TTCCTGGCTGCCATGAGATGAAGAGTTACTACAATGTATAGACTCAAAAGCATCTGGGCCAACTGACCATGGGCTGAAACCTCCAAAACAAACAAGCCCAAATAAACCTTTCCCCTTTGTGCATTCATCACCTCATATATTTTGTTACAGGGCTGATTAACATAATCTCATAAACATATACAATGAAAAATTAACCTTATTTCAGAATGGTTTTAGGTTTGTAGAAAATTTAGTAAAAATTCCTAATGCTCTCAAGCATACCTGGTTTCCTGTGTTAATCACACCTTTCCATTACTATGTTACATGTGTCATAATGAGCCAAGGTGGATATCCATACTTTTATTCAAATTCCCTAACATCCTATGTGTTCTAGGATGGCTTTCAGGGTTTTATTTTTATTTTGGGGGGGGTCTGGTCGTGGGGCCTGAACTCTGGGCCTGGGCGCTATCCCTCAGCTCTTCAGCTCAAGGCAAGTGCTCTACCACTTGAGCCACAGAACCACTTCTGACTTTTTTTCTTTTTGCTTATGTGGTGTGGGGAATTGAACCCAGGGCCTCATGCATACAAGGCAAGTGCTCTACCACTGAGCCAACTTCCCAGCCCAGCTTTCAGGGTTTTTTTGTTTTTTTTTCAGGGTTTTATAGCATGGTTGGTCATCCTTTCTCCTCTGGCTCCTCTTGGCTTCTCTACTAAATTCTTGGTTCCTGAAAGCCAGGTGTCCTCAACAATCAATGATGTCTTCTGAAATAGGACCTCAATACACATTGAATTGAATCGACCCACTTTCTATTTTAAAATATCAACTGTTTGATGGAATGATTTGATACCTGCTTCTGAGTGGCACTGTCTGCCTCTACATAACTTTCTCTAGTACTACCAAATTTCCCTTGATCCCGATGTTTTATGTAAGGCTTTATTTATTACCACTGGCAGATCCTTGATGCATGGATACATTTAGAGGAGTAGGCCTGGCCTTCTAGATGGAGACACTCATTACCTGTGTCTCTACCTCTGAAATGGACAAGTTGGGTGAGAACAACTCTGTTACTATTGGCTGCTCAAATCCTGGGCTGGTTATAAGAGCTTTCTCTTCAGGGCATTTGAGTGAGGATTCTGAGATTGGCTGTAGGAACTTCTGCTATAAATACTAATGTTAAAAGGGACTGGGACTATTTTTCATGTCTTAAATATGTAACATTTTCAATCGCTGCAAGGGACTTATATATAAACTACTCTGACACCATTTTACAGCTTGGGAAACAGCTCTGAGAAGCTGAGCGATACAGCTAATGTACACACAGGGAGAGACGTAGACTAGGGATGGTCAGCACCCATGTTCTATGACTACTTGTTCCTTTGTGAGACAGCAGCTCCCAAAACTAAAGCATTCTTAAATGGCTGGTGGAGAGAAGATAGACAAAAAGTTGCCCAATAACATGGCTTTCTTCTAAGTACCTCAGATCCTCAAAATCAAACAATCCACCAAATAGTAGGGTTCTTGCAAAGCCAACTCAAACACTGCTTTAATACCGAGCTCCTTGTTTCAGGCTTAAGATCAAGCATATCTTTCTTAATTCTCACACTAACGGTCATGTTTCAGTATTTCTTCTCCAGGAGATATGATGGGCATTTATTCCATCACATGGTCCACTGGGGGCAGATACCTGAGGCCTGTGTTACACAAGCTCAACAGTCTTCAGAAACGTCACAGCCCCTCACTGCACCAATGAAAGTTCCTACATGACTCTTCTAAGAGTTCTAAAAATGAAGCAGTGGCTCTAGGGGAAAAAAAAACCACTGGAGCTGGCACCTCTAGAAAATTATCTAAGCACAGTGAGCAAAATCTAGCATTTTGGAAATGGTTTGCCTTGGTCATTTTTTTTCCCTGGTACCAAGATTTGAACTCAGAGCCTCAAGCTTGCTTGGCAGGTGCTTTGCCAGTTGAGCTATGCCTCTAGTCCTTTTAGCTAGTTCATTTGAAGATGAAGTCCCAAGGACTTTGCTGCCTAGATTGGCTTTGAATCACAATTCTTCAGCTCTCTGTCTCCTGTGTAGCTGGGATTACATGTATGAGCTACTGGTGCCAGGCCAACTGCTGACAAAAACTATACTTTGGCCTTTCAAAGGACAGTACAGTAAGATCTAAGCTACTTTCAAGCTGTAGAAGACATGCTTATTGCTGAGAAATAATGATTTTGAGAATACTATTTGCATATACTAAACAGGAGTTGGAAGATGTTTGTGGTCTGTGGTTCTCAACCAGGTTTTTGTTTCTAACACTGCTACTGATATCAAATGGGCCCAGGACACTAAACAGGCTGTAACGGCAGTACCCACAGGCAAAATGACAGGGCTGGAAACGGATCGTGGGTGTGAGAAGAGATGAATCTGCAAAAGTCTCAATGGTTTGCTGAAATGTGTGCTATGTCCAGACACATAGGCCTTCATAGCTCCTGGCTGAGTGGCCTTTTGACACAGTTTGCACACATCCTAGGAGAGAAGAGCAACACAAATGCACACCAGCCCTTCTGCATCTGTGCCTCTCCTGTGATGGTCTGACATGTCTCCTAAATTAACATTAAATCAAGGCTTCTGGCAGAAGACACCAGTTTAAAAGTGTACATAAAACACATTTCCAGCTGGGTGCTGAAAGCCCCCACTTAGCTACTCAGGAAGCTGAGACCTAGAGTATCCTGGTTACAAGCCAGTCTTGGCAGAAAAAGAGTCCATAAGACTCTATCTCCGATTAGCCAACAAACAGCCAGGCTAGAGGTATGGCTCGTGTGGTAGAGCATCAGTACAACAATTCAAGACCCTAAGTTCAGGCCTGGGTACTGACAAGGCAAATAAACAGCACCCCCCCCCCCACACACACACATACATTTCCAGACTCTTCATAATCATTCAACTCAATGAAGCAAAGAAGACAGAAAACCTCTTATTTCAGGTAGCTTTGGATCACTCTGAAATATCCCATGGCCTTCTGATGTCCCATCAACCCCTTCTCTGTGATCATTGCCTCATCAGATGAAATACAACATTGAGAGTATTGTCCCCAAATCGTGATTATAAAATTGGAAACCGGAAATTGGCTTTTCACCAATTTCCTTAAGGTCCCTTAAACTTAAAATACCTATCACACCCATTATCCACACAGAGTAAAAGCAAATAGAACAAAATTATCCCTTTATTTTCAAACACCCCAGAAACTATTCACATATAATAGTTATAAGAGTAACACCTCTTCTCCATCTCTTGTCCAAACACTAGCAGTTTAAACTTTTCCTTCTGTTCTTTCACTTTGCTTCCTCTCTAGGCATTGTGTGTGTATGTGGGGGGTGGGGGGAGTTTCAGAAGATGTAAACTTAAGGCCTTGTGCTCTTGTTTAGCTTTTTGTTTCATGGCTGGCACTATACCACTTGAGCCACACCTCCACTCTTGCTTTTTGCTGGGTAATTGAAAAGCCCCACAGACTTCTCTACCTGGGCTGGCTTTGAACCCAGATCTTCCAGATCTCAGCCTCTTGAGTACTTTAGATTACAGGCATGAGCTACCGGCACCCAGGCTCCATCCATTCTTTTGGCTAATATTGCTGAGGTATCTCTTGCCTTTGAGGAAAATCTGAGCAGAAAGTAAGAATATTACTATGGCCAGGAAATACAGAAACTTACAAAGTTATCCACTTCCTTCTTGAGTGAGTGTTCTTCTTTTCACTGGGTAAGGCTCCTCCTGGAGAAATAAGAAACCCATTTTCTGGTTAGAAATATCTCAGTTACACCCCTCAGTTACACCCACCACTCCTTACCCTGCCCTACTTTTGGCTAATCTTCTCGTCTGGGTTTCTATAAGCTCACAGAGGTTTCCGCTCTCTACCTTTGCTTGATAAAAGTTGAGGTGGCTGCGTGCAGGGAGGGAGTGAGGGATGTCAGCGGTGAAACCAGACACTTGAAAGTCTGTGAATCTGACAACTTTCCTCTCTGCTTCTAAACGCCTGGGCACCAACGAAAATAGTTCCATCTGTTTTGGTCAGTGCCAGGAAAATGGCAAGGGCCTGCTCCAAGTCTGTCTTCATACCTCCCCGCAATATTGCAGAAAGGGAAAAAAGGTACTGTTCCACTCCAAAATCTCCTCCAAATGGCAAAAAAAAAAAAAGGGGGGGGGGGGGGGGGAATGCCAGCACTCCGCTTCCACCCTGACGAGCGCGCTGCAGGGCCGCCTGGCCTCTGCTAATAAAAGCTCAAAGCCTAAATGGCTCGGTGGTTATTGGCTTTCGCCCTTGGACAGAGAAATGAGATCACGATTTTCACCAAGGGAAGGAACCGCCACTGCCAGGCTGCTGCCGCTTCCCCTCCAGGCGCGCATCCCGCATTACATCACCGGTGAGCTGGGGTAGGGGGGTGCAGGGGGAGACTTCTCCAGAGACCCGGCCCCAGACAGGGAGGACAAACAAGGGGTGGGGCGGGAGAGTGTCGAGGAACAAGGAAAACGCAGGTCCCCGTTTCCCACCATCTTGGGGCGAGGTGTGGGGGGGGGGGTGGGGAAGGAGAGATGAGAGATGCGGGTTGTACAGCGGAAACGCAACAGCCTTGAGCAGCTGCGACCCCAAATGCACCCCTGAACCCCCTCACCTCCCAAGTCCAGCGAACCCTGGAATCCGAAGCTCCGGGGGAGGGGTGGATACGGGAGGGGTGGGGCTGTCTGGAGAGGGCCCTAGCGGGACGTCGGGACACCGGAGAGACTGGGGGCGGGGGGCGGGGGGAGGACCGGGAAGGAGCTAGGCGCCCGCGCGGGAGGGTGCAGGGGGGTGGGGTAGACAGGGGGTGGGGGAGGCGGTGGCCACAGCTCCCCTGCCCGGCCCAGCTAACGGAACTTCCCCCGCCCCGGCGACAGCAGACGATCGGCGTGGGGGGAGGTAGAAGCGCCTCCTCCCCGCCCCAGCGGCGGCCCCGCAGGGGGAGGACGGCGCCTCACCTGGCCCCTGATGTGGGGCGGATCATGCCATGGCAGCGCCGGCGATCGACAGCGGTGGCGGCGGCGGCGCCCAGAGCCCGAGTAGCAGTCCCGGGAGTCGGGCGGCAGCCGGGAGCTCCGCAGCTGCGGGAGGACGGGACGGCGGCGGGGACGCGGGAACCCGGGACGCGATCGCCACAGGCCCCTCCCTCCCTCCGCTGGAGGACTACGAGTGCAAAATCTGCTACAACTACTTCGACGCGGACAGGCGCGCCCCCAAGCTGCTGGCGTGCCTGCACACCTTCTGCCAGGAGTGCCTGACCCAGCTGCAGCTCCGCGCCGCCGCCGGCGCCGCCCCGGAGCGCGCGCCTCGCCCGCCACCCTGGCACGGCCCGCCCGGCGCCATCGCGTGCCCCGTGTGCCGCCACCGCACGCCCCTGCCCGACAGCCGCGTGCACGGCCTGCCCAACAACACCAAGCTCGCCGAGGCCTATCCGCTGCGCGCTTCGCAAGACCCGCTCCCCCAGGACCGCCTCCCGCCGCTGCCCGAGCGCCGCGCCGCGCCCGCCGCGGCCCACCCGCCGCCGCCGCCGCCGCCCGCCGAGGACGCGGCCCCGGGGTCTCGCGCGCGCTCCGGCCTGCGCGCCCCAGGGGCCTACGAGAGCTGCCAGAACTGCAAGCGCGCGGCGCTCACGGCCGGCTGCGTGTGCGTGGTCTTCTCCTTCCTCTCCATGGTGGTGCTGCTCTTCACCGGCCTCATCTTCGTCAACCACTACGGGGGCGGGGGCGGCGGCGCCGGGGCACCCCCGGGAGGCGGGGCGCCGCCCCCTGGCGCGGCCCCTGCCAGCGGTTCACCTTCCCCCTCGCCGGTGGGGCCCATCTGCCTGTCGGTGGCCAGCATCCTGGCGCTCTTCTCGGTCGTGGTCACCTGGATCATTTGCTGGCTCAAGTACCGGCCCGACGGGGCGGCCGCGAGTTCGGCGGGGAGCGGCGCAGGTTCCTCGAGGGGGCGGGCCGCGGCGGCGCCCGGAGGCAGCGCGCGGAGGAACGACACGTAGCGGGGCCTCCCGGCCTGCGCCCCCACGGCGTGCGCGGCCCAGGAGGATCGGACGGGTGGCTCCGCGCGCCCCAGCTTCTCACCCCCGCAGCCCCGGGATGAGCCTCCCCGTAGTCCGATCGCCTGTGGGCCTCGTTTTTTCCGCCCCGCAGGCTCTTAGGGCTCCGGCTCCTCCTGGGCGCTGAGCCAGGGGTGGAAACGGTGGAGGCCGGGAAGGGCGAGGAAGTGCCCAGACCGAGCAAGGTCGACCATTACTTTATACCCCGTCCGTTCCAAAGGCTTGAAGATTAGCGCCGAGGGGAGCAGAGTGGGACCCCAGCCAACTCTCCAGAAAACTAGCTTTTCTGTCATTGGCATTTGCGAATTTCTTGCGGGGTGCGGGCTGGCGCGCGCCAGCGCGCACGCGTCTGCACGGATCAAGGTGCACGGACCAGAATTGCCTAGAGGAAGAATGAATGAGACTTGAAAACTGGAAACGTTTTTCATGCTTCCCGGTTGTAGGAGGATCCGGAAGGCTGAACACGCCCCGCGGGCACGGAGCGGACTGGACTGAGTTGAGTGCCAGCCTCGGTGCGCGGAGAGGCAGGTGCGCAGCGCGCGTGCGCGTGCGGGGCCGAGCCGCGCAGGCTCCGCGGGGGGGGGGGGGAGGGGCAGGGGGCGGCGTGGCGCGCACCGGCAGCCGTGAGCCGCCCACCGCCTGGCGGCTGCAGCAGCGCCCAGAGGTCGGATCTCTTGGAAACTGGCGGTGGTTTGATTCACGGTGTTACTGCCAGGAAGTCATTTCATCTTCTGTGACTGGACTGCGATTGCTTAAAGAGCCCGAGCTCCCTTTTCACAAAACTGACTGACGGTTGCCCCCGCCTGGAAGACACTGAAAGCGATTCACGCAGAACAGAAAGTAAAGGTTTCTCCCTTGACTTTCGGTTTCTCTTAATTTCATTTTTTAAAATCGTGTATTTTTTTTGCCTATGTAAGCCTGGAAACGTTGAAGAAGATATCCTCACAAGCTGTGTTCAGCGACTTGACTTTATTCTTATACCTCTGATCCAAATGCATTTCAAAATTAGGAGCAGAAAATGAAAGTGGGTTGGTAATGAGTTGATCGAAGACTTTGTACTGTGAAAAATGAATGACTCAACTGTATGAAAACTATAACAACGTCCAAAGATGAGACTAAGTGATAAGCCTTTCTGCCTTGGACTACAAAGATATATAGTAGACATTTACCATAAAATATTATTTTGAATATAGCTGTTTGCCATCACCAGGATCATGTCTACATCTAGTCACCTGAGGGGAAAAAGAATACATATCTATCTGATTTTGTAACTAAAGGATGAATTACGAGTGCATGTTAGACGTGAATTTGGTGCCTTTTTTTTTTTAAGAAAAAACGAAAAGGTTCCAAATGTATTTTATATGAAAACATTCCTTAACCCTTCTTTTGGGATTTGGGGTGGGGAAAGAGAGTTTTCATGCTGGGAAAAAAAATCACAGAAGAGACTGAGGCTCTGCTACTGTTCCTCGTGTGTTTATGTATTTATGCAAGCCATGCATGAAATCCTGACTACATTCTATTATCTGAACTTGAATGGAACATTTGTACTATCATATGAGTGCAGTAATTTATTGGCCATCAAGCCATGGTGTGACTACAGTTTAGGAGGTACAATATAGTGCAGTATATGTCTATGTTGTCTTAATAATAAAAACAAGAAGTATTTATAGAAAAAATGTTCATGACATTTATTTCCTTGTGAAATGACTGAAAGTTATTTGTGCCACGTTTCTCTTTCTTTTTCAAGAAGAAGGATGCTTTAATGGCATTTTATTCATTTTATTGTTATTAAGTTGTTGTACAGAGGAGTTACCATTTCAAAAGTTAGGTAAGAGGTCATTTCTTTATGGACAATGCCACCCCTTCCTTGTCGTTCTCTTTCTCCATTACACATCCCTATCCCAAGGTCACTGGGGCTGAGAGATGTTGGAATGTGTACTGCTAAGAGGAGAGTCCCATGGAATTATTGCTGTGGTTTCGTATGAGCCCTTCTTGAAATGAGTTCTTGGGGTATTATAATATTCTGGAAGCAGCTTACCCATCTACAACTACAGCAGCCACTCCCACAAAATTATTTTCTAACGTTTCTGTTCCCTGAGTTCACCTGACTAGTACAAGTAATCACACTTCTGAGATCAGTTTTCATTACTTCTACCTGTAACATCCTGAATTAGTTCTAGATTTTTTTTTTTTTTTTGGTCGGTCCTGGGGCTTGAACTCTGGGCTTGGGCACTGTCCCTGTGCTCTTCAGCTTAAGGCAAGCGCTCTACCGCTTGAGCCACAGCACCACTTCCGGTTTTCTAGTGGTTTATTGGAGATAAGAGTCTCCTGGACTTTCCTGCCTGGGCTGACTTTGAACCTCCATCCTCAGATCTCAGCCTCCTGGGTAGCTAGGATTACAGCCATGAGCCACAGGTGCCCAGCTTAGTTGTATTTTTTAAACTTTTTGTTCACCTTTGCTTCCCTCCAGTAGAGATGCTGTTTGCAACCACTTCAGTTGCAAAAAATGCATCCACACATGAATGCATGAGGACGTGTGGTGGACATGGCCGTATGTATAATACATATTATAAAGGCATAGTGGTAACAGAACTTGGCTTTGTGGATGTAACCATGTGTGCGTGTGTACACAAACATGTGTTTGTTATTTCTTTCTCTTAAACTGGCAACCTAGAAGTCTGTCTAAAGTTACTTGGAGACCAACTTGCTTCATAAAGTTTATTTATGTTCCCCAGAAGTACACCAATGATGTAACCTAAATTATTCTTCATAAATGAGAAATTCATCTTTGAATTGCCTCGGTCACAATGAAAGCCACATTTTGCTTCTTTTATGGATTGCACATGTAAATTTGAGTTTGAATACTTTAAAATTATAGATTTTCTTCATGGCTTAATACATAACCATGAAGATTTCTTTTCTTGGCTGACCTTACCTCCCCACAAATTTCTGACTTTGTTACCAGAAATTGAATGGCAAGAGGAGTGATTAAAAAAAAACAAACAACTTTTGTCTGGTTTCTAATGAGCTTTTATTTCTAAGTATTCAGGTGTGTGTGTGTGTGTGTGTGTGTGTGTGTGTGCCCTTATTCACCTGTTTTACAGATTTGATTGCCAGGAATAACAACACCATAGATATAATAGGAAGTTGGAAAATGATTATTGATATATTTTGATATATATTGATATATTGATATAGACTGAGTTATCCAGAGAGCACCTAGAAACAGTAGTGTACAATTCTCCTCTTAGTTCTTTAGTTCCTTGGAAGAGTTTGACTTAATCTTAAACACAATGGGTGCGAATTATCAATAAAGTCACTGCTCATCTACTCAGAAACCAGGGAACTTCCTGGCTCCAATTCTGCCTCACATTCAGGTTTGTTTCCATGGAACATGAGCATCAGATTCATCATACAAACAATGAGTGAAACACCAACCTGGGAATGCTTAATGATTTGGTGAGCAGCGTCCACTTCAAGAAAGCTCCCTGGGTTTGGAGTAGAAAACCAATATCAGCAAGTATGTGTGAGTCTGAATAATAGCTCTCCCCTTACTTGGAAAGACTATGGACATCATAGCTCTGTGAACCCTAGGCTCAACTATAAAATGGGGAGAAAAAATATCACCCTCTTTTATCTCACGGAGTCAGGTGTGAGGATTTGTATATTTATACACACTTTTCTATACCATGAAATGCTTTGGAATCTAAAGCTATATGCACCTGTGCTTTTGCTTTCATTCTGAGCTCCAAGGATCTAATATCTCCCCCAGAGAGCTAGATTCCCAGGGGATAGTGATCTCACTGCTACTTCCTTCCCAACTCTTAGAACTGTCTGTAGTGGTCTTAATTATCTGCTGAATTGTTGATTTCTTGCAATCGGAATTTAAAGACTACAGGAACATTGCCTTCCTGGCCTCTCTTCTAAGCTACAAAGCTGTACTGAGTTCTTAGTACGTAGTAAGTGGTTAATAAATATTGTGTTGAGCTACCTGAAGGAACACCCAGGAAGAAATGTTGGGCAAGTTGGCTCCCCAAACTCACTCTGCCAGTCTGCTGAGACCCTGAGGGTCTTGGGTAAATAGTTACATTCACTATTACACAAGGATTTTTGAAAGGTTAAAAAATATATATGTTCCTGAAAAATCACTTTGGGTTTTGAGAAAAATCTGTGCTATAACAGAAGAATGCTTGCTACATTTTATTCAGTATAGAGAGAGACCAAAGAATATTTAGCTATTCTGATCACTTCTGCATTATGACATTCAATGTGCATTTATGACCACAATAATGCTGTTCACTCCACTGGGAGCAACATCTGTGTAGTTAGGGGAAATTTCCATAACATCGAGAAGATGTTCTGTCAAATTTCTTGATTTTTTTCTTGATCTTTATTCTAATAATAGTCTTTCTAATTTTATATTTGTGTGTGTGTGTGTGTGTGTGTGTGTGTGTCCATTGTAGAGTTTGAAATTGTGGCCTGGGCATTGTCCCTGAGCTTTTTAGCTCAAGGCTAGCACTCTACCACTTGAGCCTTGGCTCCATTTCCAGCTTTTTGATGGCTAACTGGAGATAAGAGTCTCCCAGACTTTCCTGCCTGGACTGGCTCTGAGCCATGTTCCTCAGGTCTCAGCCTCCTGAGCAGCTAGGATTATAGGCAGGATCACTGGTGCTAGACATCCTTGCCATTCTAGATAAAGCATTCTTTGCAGATTTACTAATTTTTCCCTCTACCCCCATGTTACACCCCCAGTCCCATACATGCTAATTTTATTCAACTCAAGAATGAAGTCATGCAGTTACTCTGTAGTACCATCTATCACCATTTAATTCCACTGATATCAGTGTTTTACATTTCTGCTCTGACACAAAGATAGTAAGTTTATACTATGAACAATTAGCTGCATCCTTGTTAAATACAAATTTGTTTTTCTTCCTGTGAAG